GCGCAGGAAAGCTTCTTGATACAGAGAATTGAAGGTGTTCTCCCCTTCTTCGGATCAAACCTAATTGCCTCCCTTACCCCAGGCGTTATATGGCCATTACAGGTTGAGCTCTCCCAGGGATGATAATATTACACAGAAATGGTTAAGTAACAATTTCATTCATTACATTCGTGTGAAGCGCTAAACTCGCATGGGCCATGAGGAGGGTATGCTGGTGAGAGGTTGGGCTGCGAGGGTAGGAGAACCCTCGACACAGGTCACAGGTTTGACTAGTGGAGGCTCGCTCCTCTGTCAGGTGATCACTACACAAACTTTTCTCCCACGGTCTGCCTTTCCAAGTGTGTAAGTGGGACAGTGTAAGGAACATAAAAAACAAGTAAAAAGAATGTGTAGAGTGAGAGTGCTAGGAACAAAGAAACAAGTAAAAAAATGTGCGAATGGCAGAGTGAAAGAAACAGACAAAATGCAAATGGAAGATTGAAAAAACAGAGAAAGAGACAAAAAAAAAATGGTGCAAATATGAGTGTACGAGGTAACAAAGAAAGAAGCAAAAATAATTGCAAGTTTGAGAGGGCAAGGAACAAAAAAAACAAACAAAATGCAAATGTGAGAGAACAAGGAAGAAAGAAATGATCATTTGTAACTAGTATTGCCTGTCGAGGTAATGTAGTATTATTAGTATTAGTATTATTGTTATTTATTTATTCATTTTATTCAAGGGGAAGCGCTAAACCCATCGAAGACATACAGGGAAGGAGAAGACAACTCCAGTGTCTCAGATCAAGATCTTCCTCCTCCTCCCCTTTGAAGGAGGAGGAGGAAGTTATCTGAAGGTATATAAGATGTAGCAGATCAGCAGGTTTTTGATCCAAGGGAACCAGAACACATATAGAGAAGTATGTGGGACAGTCATTGACTTCCTCTGTTGACAGCCCTTGACTTCCTCGTTGACAGCCCTTGACTTCCTCGTTGACAGCCCTTGACTTCCTCGCTGATAGTCCTTAACTTCCTCGCTGACAGCCCTTGACTTCCTCGTTGACAGTCCCTGACTTCCTCCTTCAGAGTGCTTCCTTGAGCCACTGATTCCATCTGCTCTACGCCTCCCGTATAAAAATAGCCGTGGTAAAAGCCTTTTAATTTGAATATGGCTAAATGCCGGAGGATTACTCCAGCATGTTTATGCTATGCACTTCTATTTTTAGGATGCAGTTGTATTTTGTAGGATTACAGCAGATTAAGTAATTCAGTTTTGAGTTTGCAGCGCATAAAAGCCTTTGCAGAGTGCAATGTGGCGTACCTTATTTTGTAATGGTTTCTTTTATTGCTTCATTGTTTTCTTGCGTCATTGTTTTCTTGCGTCATTGTTTTCTTGCGTCAGTGTTTGCTTGCATCAGTGTTTGCTGGTATTAGCTTTTGTTGCGACAATGTTATGTTGCTTTACGTTACATTAGGTTGAGTTAGGTTAGGTTATATGATGCTATAAAAAATATATTTAACTACCATCACAATAACAAAAGGGCTGCAGTACGCCTTGCATCGAGGTGACCAACCGCATCCAGGAAACGTTGAAATCTGCACGAGTATCATACGCTGTGCGAGAATTGTTGAATATTGAGGTGTAATGGGGATGGTGTTTCAGGAGGGGAGATAAGGCAAGAGCTCTCATAGCGAAAACAGTGCTGGTGTGTGAGAGCTTATTCTGAAGGGTTGGTGGTAATGGTGTTGACATATCGTGTGTGTACGCCAGAAATAGCATATGAGATTACTTAGGTTAGGTAAGATTCGTTAGGAAATAGTATAAATGCTTCCTGCCTTCTGTGGGATAAATATTATGGACTCCTTCCTTCCGCAGGGTAAATATAGTAGCCATCTGTCTTCTGCAGGATATATATATGTATAGTAACTCCTTGTCTTATGCAGGGTAAATATGGTAGCTACGTGCTTTTTTGCAGGGTAAATATTCTTAATTTCCAGTCTTCTATAAGGTTTTAGTTATATGAAGATCCGATACTTCAGCTTTGGTCATATGATCGAGGCCTTCCGATGGCTTACCTGTCCACCCTCTATAAAAATTAAAGATAAAACATTTGACGTTGGAATATTTTTTTACACATTTTTTGACTATTTCTTGTTTTGTGGATATACATTTACTGTTTTTTGGGGGGGAAGGAGGGAAATAGTATTTCGTGTAGTTTTTTTTTTTTTTTTTTTTTTTTTTTGAGGGGGGAGATCTTTTCAGATGATTTTGGTATGTAATAAGATAGTACCAGCTTAGTAACCACTGTTGTTACGAAAATTGTCTTCACCGGTCATTATTGTAACTACTGTTGTTACGAAGATTATTTTCACCGATTATTATTGTAACTACTGTTGTTACGAAGATTATTTTCACCGATTATTATTGTAACTACTGTTGTTACGAAGATTATTTTCACAGATTATTATTGTAACTACTGTTGTTACGAAGATTATTTTCACCGATTATTATTGTAACTACTGTTGTTACGAAGATTTTCTGTTTGATGTGACCGCTCACTGTTTGTCTTGCTGCGCCATGTGGATGGAAGAGGTTTTACAATGAAAGGAGGAAAGAAGTACTAAGAAAAATCAAGATTGCATCACCACCTATTAGTCACGTTTCTATGGTGCCATGCCTTGGCGCCACGTTTCTATGGTGCCATGCCTTGGCGCCACGTTTCTATGGTGCCATGCCTTGGCGCCACGTTTCTATGGTGCCATGCCTTGGCGCCACGTTTCTATGGTGCCATGCCTTGGCGCCGCGTTTCTATGGTGCCATGCCTTGGCGCCGCGTTTCTATGGTGCCATGCCTTGGCGCCGCGTTTCTATGGTGCCATGCCTTGGCGCCGCGTTTCTATGGTGCCATGCCTTGGCGCCACGTTTCTATGGTGCCATGCCTTGGCGCCGCGTTTCTATGGTGCCATGCCTTGGCGCCACGTTTCTATGGTGCCATGCCTTGGCGCCACGTTTCTATGGTACCATGCTTTGTAATCTTGGTACCATGTTCACATACAGTTGCTGTAAATATTGCAGCCAGAAGAGGCAGAACACAAGCGCGTATACTATAAATACGATGAATTTTTGTGAACAGTTTTAAGAACATGTAACAAATTAAGTTTCTTGGTCTTCTTGAAGAGGTAGCAGCGCTGTATGACCCTTGTGGGTTTAGCGCTTTGTTATGATTATAATAATCTTGAAGAGGTAACCCTTCACTGGGAGCACCTTGATCCTAGTGGAAGGATCGCGATACCAGTCCTTGCAGTGAACTTGATTACCTCTCATTCCCCAGGCGTTGCACGACTCCTGTGGGTGTAGCACCTCCCGGTGAACATAATAATTAGGGAGGTCGATGGAATGTAGTCAGTTTGCAAACGTCACAGCCAAGGGAAATCACAAGGAAAGTTCTGCATGTAGAAGTTCTTTAGTTACACTATTGTGACATGTTAGTGACGTCTCTGTTTTTTAGTTAATATAGGAAGATATACACTACACGAAGAAAAAGGTAAGTAAGAAAAATTTACATATTTCGACTTTGAGGCTGAGAAAGTACTTCCTAATAGTATTCCTGTGGTTCATCTGCTTGTTTAGCTACAATTTTATGTTCAATCATTTTCTCTCCTTACTTCTGAGTCTGTCTTTGTCCACTCTGCCTGATCCTTCAAGTACTTTGTATCTGATCATGTCCTCTCCGGGTCCTCTAGTTTGTTATCTCCAGTGCTTTAAGTATCTCTTTAGTTGAAGTACAAATCTCCTGTGTGTGGGGGTAGAGTCGCAGCTCATGGCCCCATTTCTTCGCTAGTCATTACTAGGCCCACTCCCTGCTCCAAGAGCCTTATGGTGTGTGTGTATGTGTGTGTGTGTGTTTTAATAAGAGGCAGCGGGACATGTGTTCTGGGGGGGGGGGTGATCACCTGCGTGCACTCTGGCCTCACACCCAACACAACACTTTTTTTTTACCTTGGCTCTAGTTTGAAAATATCTATGAAATCTGGTTCCATATTTTCAAACATTCAGTGAATATGTTGTGGCGATCTCTTTCATTCTCATTTCTTCAACATGTTACACATCCCGAGGTGTTCTTCCTAATGTTGATAACAATTTTAATTTTTAAGAGTAAAGTAAGATAAGCAAACCATGAACGCAGTTATGGTTATGAAAGATGGTTCCTCCTCTTTTTATGATTTTATTCATGGAGTTGTATCTGAAAATGTAAAGCATTTTCTACATAAATATCGTGTTTGAAAAACATTTTATGCATTGATGGTTCATATGGTGCCCTTTTTTTTGAGTCGAATGTATAATTTAATGCATTTTCAGAAATAAATGCTTTTATAACACTTTTATGTATTGGGATATATATATATATGGTGGCGTTTTCCGAGTGGAATACATACTTTAATGTGTTTTTTCATAGAAATATAAAATTGTAAAAGTGATGTTATTGGGCGCGGCGGCCAAAACATCAAGTGAAAGGAACTAGCCAGGCGCGGGCCATCGATCCTTAGTTTTGTAAGCCTGTGTGATGCTCCAGCACTCGTCCCAGACACAGCTGGGGTCTACACACTCACCCTCACCACTTCTTAATATATCCCTCACATATGCATATTTTAGCCAATCTCACTTCACCTAGATAAAAAAAAGTTTAACTTGCCATGCAATTTAGTAAGACTTGGTAGGCCCTCTCTCCCTTCTCCCAGGCCACCCACTGATGCCAGATGTACATTTTCTTTGCTCTTCCAATGGGTTTCTCTGCTGTTGCTTGCTACCTTAGGTTTGTTTTGCTGTTTTTGTGTATTATATTAGGAGATGGCATTAGTAATTATGCGTAAGAAAGGGATAATAAATGTTTAAATAAAGTTTGTGCAAGGGATTAGATGTGGAGGGGGTTGGCGGGGGTGGGAAGGTCTGGAAACAGTGGTGTGGAGCGGACGACTAGGGTGTCCCGGTCGACCCTGGCTTGCCAGGCCCCAGTCGCTGCTAGAGGGAGGACGAGACTACACTCGCACTCTCCCCTCTCTCGACTCACGCGTATCACGTCGCTATTCCAAACTCTTTTTACAACACTTACCCTTCTCCTTCAAGTTGTTCGTTCATTCTATAAGCATAATTTGACCAATACTGTTCTTAGTTGCGGCCTGGTTTACCCTCCAAAAGACTGTCCGGTTGTTGATTTACCCCCTCTGGTGAGAACATTCCAAGAACCTGTCACTCAAAAACCGGTGCCATCTCAAAGGATTCATCAAGCAAGTGCCACCACGAATCGTAGCTCCTCTCCCGTCGACTCTTTTAATACACAAGTGGATAGAGAGGCTGGCCGCCCTCCTAGAACGCCCACCAATTGTTAGTTCGACCCTCTTCGCCGCTCCTCAGCACAAAATCGTTCCATGTTCAGTACCGATAGCGTCCAGTGCTCGAAGCCAACCAGGTGCCGATTTATGTGTGTGTGATTTGTTGTGTTGGTGAAGTAGGGAGAAGTGGAGAAGAGCGGGAGGATCCCAACGGGTATTTGTGGTGTTGGAGAGAGCAGCACTGCGCCCCTGCCCACCCACACACCCACACCGCCCACGGTCAACCACTGGCCATACTTTGTTCTTCCCACGGACTTATAATCTCTCCCTAACCGTGAAAGTTTTTTGTTGGAAATACTGATTTTTTTTCCCCTTCCCCCGAGAAGAAATAATGCCTCGAGCTGCAAGTTTTTGGTACGACTTCCCAGCCTAGTTGATAAGACTTTCATTCCCTCATTTTGAAGACGAGTTTGATGTTAGAGAATGTGAAGCGTTATCGCCGGGACGAACCTTGACAGTTGATGTGGCATTGTTAACCGTCGTTGTTGACACAGATGGGAGCCAACCAGGAACAAGAGAGTGATGTTCTCTGTGAGTATATCTCTCTTTCTCTTTACCCATGCATACACTTTATTCTTTTTTATATATAACCTTACAGTAACGTGGAAACGTTTGATTATTTTTATTCTGTGTTAATAGTGGTTTGCATTAATTTAATATATTTTTTAAATTCACAACGTGAAATAAAAGCAGAACTTTTATTAACAATAATAAATGTTAATAGTATTAAATATTAGTAATAGTAATAAATGTTAACAGTAGTAGTAGTAGTAAATGTTAACAGTAGCACTATTGTTAATTTGTTATTTATTTTTGGTAAAATTCTGCTCAGAAGTATATATTAGTATTCCTAGCAATATCAGGTAAGACTTATAAAGTTTGATGACATTATAGACACTTTTTAAACCTTTATTTCCTCTACAATAATGTGAAGAACATTTGTGTGCAACACTTCCTAGTGGTATCAGGTGAAGCATTTTCTGACCCATCTCAATTTTTAGCTAAAATACGCACATAACCATTGTAAAAATACTTAAAAGGTTTGCTACTTGAAATAAAATGTGATTTGGCTTACTTTTATCCCATAAAATGCAATTGGAGCAGCAGTTTCGATTAAAAGTGTGATAAAAAAATGAGGTGTGACAGAAAATGCTTAAAACAGCTGTGAAAACAGGATTCACGTGTTTCTATGCACAGCGTTTGTTTACTGTGACCACAAGTGTTACACAGATCCAGAAATGTCAGATGTCAACGCTGTTATCCTAGTGTCAACACTTACGCAGGTGACAACTGTATTATCCATGTTACATATGCACATCGATATCCAGGTTACAATGTTATCCATGTTACACTGATAGTACTATCCAAGTTAGTATTATCCAGATTAGTGTTATCCAGGTTGCACAGTATTATCCAAGTTACGCAGTGCTATCAAGGTTATACAGTCCGTATTATCCAAATTAGGGTAATCCGTTTTACGCCACGTTATCCAAGTTACACTTATCCTGATTATGCATTGTTATCCAGGTTACAGTGTTATCCAGGTCACACTTATCCATATACAATGTTTTCCAGGTATACACTTATCCATGTTACACTATTATCCAGCTTAGTGTTATCTAAGTTATTGTTATCCAGATCAGGGAGTTATCCAAGTTGTACTAGCAGTTTTATCCAGGTTATAGACACACCCAGTTTTATCCAGGAGTGTAATCCAAGATGTAACATTGATACAGATACAGAGTTATCCAGGATACAAATTCTTATCTAGGATATAAATATAGTGTTATCCAGGAGGCAGCCACACTCGGTATTATCGAGGATAACGACTCTTATAGTTATCCAAAATACAGGCAGTATTATCCACGATAGTCATATCCAGGTTAAATACAGTGTTACCCGCAATACATACACAGTGTTATCCAGATCACACACACAGTGTTATCCAGGTTACACACATTGTTATCCGGGTTACACACAGTGTTATCCAGGTTACACACATTGTTATCCGGGTTACACACAGTGTTATCCGAAACACATACACAGTGTTATCCAGGTTATACACAGTGTTATCCAAGTTACATTTATTGTTATTAAGGTTACACTCTGTTATCCAGGTTACAGTGTTACCCAGATTGCACATAGTGTTATCCAGATTATACAGTGTTATCCAGGTTACACAGTGTTATCCAGGTTACACACTGTTATCCAGGTTACACACTGTTATCCAGGTTACACACTGTTATCCAGGTTACACACTCAGTGTTATCCAGGTTACACACTCGGTGTTATCCAGGTATCATACACTTATAATATAAGAAAACATTTGAAAGATCTGAGCTTTAACATGAGGATATTCTTACCCCAAATCTTAGGGTACTAGAGATGAGAAGGTATAGGCCACCAACACATCCCGGTGACCTGCTGGTCAATTATAGACCTCTTGACACATCCCGGTGACCTGATGGTCAATTATAGGCGTCTGACACATCCCGATGATCTGGTGGTCAATTATAGGCCTCTAACACATCCCGGTGACCTGATTGTCAGTTATAGGCCACTGACACATCCCGTTGACCTGGTGGTCAGTTATAGACCTCTTACACATCCCGGTAACCTGGTGGTCACTCAGATGTGTCAGGGTGCACACCAGATGCATCAATCTATACACCCTCTATACACCAGATGATCTTCAAGGGATGTAGTGACACATCCTGCCAAGCCGGAGATAAGTAGTAGACCGTCGTACTAGCAATGTATAGCTTGTTGCTGCTCTGTATATATATATTTATATATATATATATATATATATATATATATATATATATATATATATATATATATATATATATATATATATATATATGGGGAAAGAGTGCATCTAATTTCCTTAAGGAGCTGGGAAAAAGACTCATCAGGGTAACCAGGGATCCCAGGGCAGCTAGTTTTCTGTTCCAGCGGCTCAGTGCGGCTGTTCAAAGGGGTAATGCATGCTGCATTTTGGGCACGCGCCCCAGCTCTGAGGAGCTGGATGAGATTTTCGCCTTATAATCGGTGATACACACGTAACAACATGTACCGTATATGCCACCTTTATATCAACAATGTATCTCTTAAATCTTCTGTGCCATATTATGTAATAAAATATTCCTATTGGTAAAAAAAAAATAGTTTAAAAGATGGGGTGGTAGGGGAAGTGGAATATTCAAATGGCTTCAGGAAGAAATCCAAATATTCTTCCTTGAAGCCTTTTTATCCACTTCTCCGAGGCTATGGGTCCCACAATTTACACCAGAGGTGGACCCATCATATATATATATATATATATATATATACATATATATATATACATATATATATATATATATATATATATATATATATATATATATATATATATATATATATATATATATATATATATATGAAGAACATTAGAATATAATAAAGGAGGAACACTGCAGCAGGCCTACTGGCCCATGCGAGGCACGTCCACTTCTACCGGCTTAAAACCAACGCCCTAACTTAGACAGGTCAGGTGGTCACATTCACTAAAGGAAGGAGCACGGCATCTGACCTAGTAGCACAAGCTGGTCAGGTCCAACTCACACCCACCCACACCCACTCATGTATTTATATAACTGATTTTTAAAACTAAACAACGTCTTAGCTTCTATGACGGTACTCGGGAGTTTCTTCCACTCATCCACCAATCTATTACCAAACCACTGCTTTCCTATATCATTCATATATATATATATATATATATATATATATATATATATATATATATATATATATATATATATATATATATATATATATATATATACATATATATATATATATATATATATATATATATATATGTGTGTATAATATATATATATATATATATTATATATATATATATATATATATATATATATATATATATATATATATATACGTATATATACACGTATAATATGGGGTCCACCTCTGATGTAAATTGTGGGACCCATAGCCTCGGAGAAGTGGATAAAAAGGCTTCAAGGAAGAATAATTGGATTTCTTCCTGAAGCCGTTTCAATATATATCGTGCGATTTGGGCTTAAATAGCAGGCAACCGAAAATTTGTGTATGCAATAATTTCGCAAAAATCATTCTGAACCTAACTAGAAAAATATATTTCATTGTGTTTGTTGATTATTAAATTATTGTAAACTTATCTAAAATTTTAGTTGGATTAGGCTAAATTAAATTCCGCTTGTTATAATAAAGTTAGGTAAGTTTTCTAAGGTTCTTTTGGTACAAAATTATTAATTTTTTACATTAACATAAATGAAAAAAATATATCTTTAAAACTATAAGAGAAATTTTTAGAAAGGACGTGATCTTAAATGAGTTTTTGCTAATTGACCAGTTTTTAGATATTTGGCACGACATATATATATATATATATATATAATCTTTGATATATTGTATTAGTGTTTTCATGTTTGTGTTTTCTGTCAATGTATTCTGTCTGTTAATAAAGTTCACATAAAATACAGAGTATAGGGGGTGGTAGGAGAAGAAAATATTCCAACAGCTCCCGGGAGAACCTTGAGTTTTCCCTGAGGTACATTTATTGTCTTCTCTGAGGATGAGGGTCCCCAGTAAAGTTATAGAGGCGGTACCTATATATATATATATATATATATATATATATATATATATATATATATATATATATATATATATGTGTATATATATATATATATATATATTATATTATATATATATATATATATATATATATATATATATATATATATATATATAATACACCGCCGTCTCCCACCGAGGAAGGGTGACCCAAAAAAAAGTGAACACTTTTACCGTCATTCACTAACTGTCTTGCTGACATCACTGTTCATGTGGCCCTCCAAACTGAAACATCACCACCCCTCCTACCAAGTGCAGGCACTCCCTTCCCACCTCCAGGACTCATCTCCGGGTAACGGGTTTTCCTTGAATCATTTCATAAGTGTTACCTTCCTCATACTCCAGAAGCACCTCAAGTCTTTATATAAAAGCCATTTGGTTTGTTGGATGTCCAAACCCCTAGATCTCAAAAAACGCATTTTACCCTTCTCCAGCCTTCTGTGATTACCCCTGCCGCTGCCCTCCACCCTAGATTCATACACCCTCCTAATCAGTTTGTTTAGCTTCATCCTCTCGAAATATACAAATCACCTCAGCAACCTATAAAATAAATGAAAAAATATCTTTCAACATATAAGAGAAAATTTTAGAAAGAGCTCAATTTTAAATGGGTTCTTTCTAATTGACCAGTTTTACCTATTCGACACATTATATATGTATATATCAATAACAACACTGCACTAGCCAAGGACTCGAACCCATGCTGCTTTGGCTTGCCTCATGGTGGGCGAAAACTCATGACGCCCTAATCCATTGGACCATACAATCCTTAAGAGCAGCCCATCCAGCGGAACTGAATGTTGTACTCGCTACCCAAAGACATACGATTGTGTGGATGACTC